TCTCCTGCTTTCATTATTTTTGGTACACTACTTTCAGCTTCGTGGTGAGTACTTTTCGACCCTTCTCCATGAGTTGTCGAAGCACAATGCCTGCCCCTGAACATGCCGATGTCCTTTGGGGTCTGCCTCTTTTGTGCGATGCGTCCTCTGTGATTCTTCCCTTCTTGACTCTCTTCGTCCGACTTCCCTAGAAGGTCGGTGAGAGTAGCTTTCGCTCTCGTTGTGCTGAGGGGCTATGGGGATTGTTTTCTGCCCTCCCTTTTGGGCATTGGTCGCTGGAATCGGCGTGTCCTGCAGCGGGAACGGTGGCTGCATGACGTTATTTTGCATCATGAAATTGACGACCGACTGTAGGTCTGCCAATTTATTTGCCATCTCTTTTACCTCTTCGTCCCTCCGCAGGCATCTATCCTTCCATACCTGGAGGTCGTTCTCGTTGTAGTAGCCACTTCGATCTGGTTTCTTTGGTGCGTTGCCAGTCTAGCTGACGTCTTTCACTCCATGGTTCTGCTCATGAGTTTCTGCGTTGCATTCGTCTCCTTTGACATCAAGGTCAATAGGTCTCTCACTCCCAGCAGGAGTGTCGTCCCCAATCTTTTCTTTCTGTCCATTACTGGCCATCTATTTTCCTTTCTTTCCCACAGACGGCACCAAATTGTGTGAGTGATTTTTCGATCACACTGCCCAACTTAGTATTCAGCTGGAGAACACTGACAGAATAAATGACACATGACTGACCTGCAACAGAAAGAGAAAATTCCGGCGATGGTTCGTCCACCCGGGGGCACTCCGACGATCAAGTCAGTATATCTCTCAAAGATAATTAATAGTGCAAATCTCATTATTCAGAATATGAAATTGCATACCTTAGACCCATGGGGTGCCTCTCTTTTATAGCTAACTCAATCCTTGTCCCAACAGGAGCCTAGCTCTAATGGACTTAGGATTACTATTAATCTTGGACACCCAGTAGGATTAGGATAAACTCCCTAAGAGTCTTATCCTTTCCCAACTGCAGTCTTCTCCCTTTCTAGGACTCTTGTGCCTTATCCACTTATCTCGGATTCCGATATCTTCGGAGGTAACCTCGGCCTCGCTGAGATAACCTCGGCGTCATGACCAAGACACGTGGCATCTTGGCTGACACGTCAGCGTCACCTTAGCCGCGTGTTGGTACTCAGAAAATATATCCCCACACCAACCCATAAAAAAACTTATAAGTAGGCTTGGGTGAAATATACTTGTTAGGCTTCTGTTTGATAAAATTCTTTTCAATTGTAATTTTATTTATTTTTATATTTTCAGTGATGATATGAGTGTTTAGATGTGAATCTAACCCGAATTGTACCTATGCGAAGCAGTTTGTGATCTTGGTCCTTTCATATTTACCATTTCGCTAACTATGTACGGCAATTGAGTTACCCAGTCAGCTCGCGAAGGTCAAGGGGGCAACGACCCATTGCGGGTTCGGGGCAGGGCCCAAGCGAGGTCAAGAAATAGCAACCCTGAAACAAAAAGCAAAAATGCAGTTAAAGTTGTTTAACCGTTTGAGCGGTCATTTGTGCACTCTAGCGAAGAAAATGATCATCTAATATTTTTGCAAAGCATCTAAACTTCTAAGAAAAAGTTTTTACTGCTCGAGCGGCGAAAGTTGCGCTCAAGTGGTCAGCCTATATGTTTTGCACCGCCTTTACTCACACCGCTCAAGCGATTTTCGCGATCTAGTTTACTATAAAGTGTGATGTTTGCTCGTTTTAGTTTTTGAGTTGTCCAGATTTTCAGAGAGGAAGAAAAAATAAAGTGTTTTATATTGGAGGGTGCTTTATAAGTGCTTCATCGATATTTTAAGAGTGATCAAATTGATCCGTGAGCTTCATATCAATATCATCAAGGGTTTGGTTGTGATCTTTTATTCACAAAAGAAAGAGTTATTCTTCGGTGCATTTCAGGAAACTTAGACCTAAAGTTTTTGTGGATTCTGGAGTGGCTCATCGCCGTGAATTCGACATCAACGTTGTGGATTCAACTTTGAGTAAGACAAATCCGAGGTGAAGACGGTAGTGGAAAAGGCACATCGGTGTCGGTTCAATTCAGACGTGGATTCACTAGATAATTGAGGGTTCGCTAGATAATTGAGGGTATACATGTGTAATTCATTTTTGTTTTCTTAGTGGATTGTTCTGTGATTTTGTCCCATAATTTTTTTTTATCATAATTAGAGGCGCTACGTTAAATCGTTGTGTCGATTTATCTTTGATTATTTGATTGTAATTGTTATGTATTTTTTAAAATTGAAACATAATCACAAATCAATATCTTGGAGATTTTAAATTTTTCAATACTAATTGTCCCTGTAGTTTGGGGCTTGTATCACTTTGGTCCCTGACCTTTCAATTGTGATACGTTTGACCCTGAATTTTGAATCTCGTTCTAAACAAGAACAATTGAAAATACCGTTATTCGATTTTAAGGTCAAAGTCGTTAATTTGATAAGATATAAACTAGTTTGACAAAAATAAACATTAAAAAATTGTTTTTGAATTTTTAAAAATTATTTCTACTCACCAAAGATAAAATTATATAAAATTAATAAATATTTTATATTTATATTTTTTTACCAAATTAATTTTTAGTATGTGTTTGGATGATGATCATGTAATAGATAGTTGTTTTTGTTGATATTTTTTGATGATTGTCATGTAATAGATGGTTGTATTTGTGAACACATATTTTTGAAAAGTTATCATGTAATGAATGACTATTAGATTTTTAATGTGTAATCGATATATTTAATATATAAATTGTTTTAATTTTGAATTTTTTGATTTAATGGATTAATTTAATAATGGCATCAAAATTATCGTCATGGCTGGCTTTTGAGAAAATAGAAACTAATTTAACAAAAATAAATATATAAAAAATTATTTCTACTCTCCCAAAAGATAAAATTATATAAAAATGATGTATTTTAAATTTTTTTTCACCAATTTAATTTTTAATTTCTTAGAACATTTTTTTAAAGGCAGTGGCTTTGGTCCAGTCCAAGATCGGACTGGACCGTGCTGTTGGGCCCGTGAGGGCCCACCACGGGTCCCGTTTTGATAATCCGAACTGTTCAATGTGTAAAACTCGTCGAGTACTATATGCTTGTAAAAAATCACGTTGATCGGATATCGATAGCTATGTGAACAAAACTGTTTTTTATCAACCGTTAATTTTTTCACCCATTTTTTTTATACAAAACTGATTTGATCACATAGTTATTGATATCCGATCAATGTGATTTTTTACAAAAATATAGTACTCGACGAGTTCTACACATTGAACGGTTCAGATTATCAAAACGGACCCAAAAAATAGGCCCCATGGGCCGGACTAGACGGGTCCAGTCTTGATCTCAACTTGAGACAAGCTGGACCCTTTTTTAAAAATAAATTCTGAAAATCAAACCAAACAAAACTTTATAACCAAAAAAGTGATAGTATTATTTATTAAAAAATAGCCAAACAACATACAAGGGGTGCAACTCGGGCGGGTTCGGTCGGGTTGGGAGGTTGTCCAAGCCCAGCCCAAGTTGTACTGAGATCTGCCCAAACCCGCCCAGGCCCGAATTGTAACCCGAGGTTGTTTACCTAAGCCCGACCCGAGGTAAACCCGAATTGCCCGAGTTGCCCAAATTGTAAATGAATTTCAATTTTTTTTTTTTTTTGCAACTATATTATTAAATTATTAAAATTTGACTCTATTTATAATTTTTTTTAATAGAAAATCATTAATACCATCAAAACAAATAATTTATATAATGCAATAGAGATGCCACTATAGTAGACCTTACAATTTATGAGGGAAAATAAAAAGAAAAAAAAAGATTTTATGTTATTTGTATATATAATATATATTCAATATGATTTAATAATATAAATTACTTTAATATCATGTAATGACTAATAATTTATATGTATATTTAATATTTTTATATATCTATATATGTATAATTCGGGTTTCGGGTTGCTCGGGTTGTGTGACGTCTTTGCCCAAGCCCGCCTAAATTTAATTCGGGCTTCTGAATTTTTGCCCGAGCCCGTACCGAATTTGAAAATATTTTGTCCAAGTCCTAAAAAAATTCAGGCTGGGCTCGGGTTGCTCGGGTTGAGCCCGCCCAAATTGCACCCCTTATACAAGTTGACCAATACAAAAATAAGTTGTATAATGACTTTACCCTTGAAATAAACCATTTGCAAAGGAAACATCTTTGATTATTCTTATTTGGAATAATATTTAAAATTTAAGATCAAATATATCATAATTAAAAATTAACAACCAAAATAATACAAGTCCCAAATTACAGACACTGTTAATATAATTCGCCTAAAAAAAAAAACTATAAGTAGGGGCTTGGGCATCATTTTCTAGAATTGGGTTCCTGTTGTGCATGAGATCCATTGAAGGCTTGCCATATTATAATATTCATCAAATGGATCATTCACATAAAAAAAATAAATAAATAAATATTTTTAGTCTCATAATAAAAACACATTTATTTTTTAAAAATAAACGATTAAAATGATTTTAATAATTTTCAAAAACAATTAGGACTTGATTATAAAATTATAAATGTCCGATTAATTCAAATTTTTATTTAAATAATATATTCTATAAATTTTATAACATGAATAATTTAAATTATCAGAAATAAGCCTAATAAATACTTGTACAAACTCTCACAACGGGACTGCCATGCCAGGCAGCAGCAACACTCAACCCTCATTTTCCCGGTCCAATCCGATGCGGCCCCTTACATACCACCAGCCAAAAGCATAAAATAAAAGTAAAGATGAGGAAAAACTGCCTACAATGGTGGGTTGCTATTCACAAAGTTCCAAGAACCAAATATCAGCCATAGAATTGGAAACCAACATGGCCACAAAAAACCAAACAAACCAACAAACGACAAAAAAGAGAGAAATAGACATTGGCATGAGAGAGAAAAAATAGGGGTATATTACCCATATACACAACAAAAAATTGTTAAGAAAAGTTGTAGTTTAAAAACTCTCTTTTATTTCCTCCCTCCTCCCCCATCATCATCATCTCAGATCTCTCTCATCTGACACCAATTTTAAACATCTTTCTTACCAAAAAATCGTAAAACCCCTTTTCCTTATCCATTTCCCCATTTTGATCCCTCTGATCTGAGAACAAACTCTGTCACCAATCAAATTTTTATGCTTCTTTTTACAGCTAAGTTTGGTCTTGATAGGTCACTCACCATGGAAGGTCCAAACACCTCAACCCAGGTTCAAGGTATTGTTGCTGGACCACCACACCTCCATATTCTCTGAATTCACACATAAAAACTATTTCTTTGTTGTCCTGTGGCCATCTTTTGGTTGATTTTCCCTATACCCATTTGGAGTTTTGCATATATTAATGGTGTCTTGTTCCTCTAGTGGTGGTGGGTATTTAGGTTCCGCAATTGGGATTGTGGGTTTGGAGCATAAGCAAAAACTGGACTTGAGGTTGGGTTTGGGTATTGTTTTTGATCTAGGTTTGATGAATATATTGTTTGCTGGTTCTTTTGGATGAAAAATATGTGTGAGGTTTATTAGGTCTTAACTTATGCTTGGCAAATGTTTGATGACATTTTTGATTGATGTGTTAGTTGGATGATACATATAAATGTATGAGGTATATCAAGATTCGAGTAGTTGTGTAAAAATGGTTAGATCATGTTGGAAAATCTCTTCTGTGGAGGGTGATGGAAGTCGCCGGGGCAGAGATGGAAGTCGTCATGGTGGAGATTCGAATGGTCGGGTTGATGGTTTGTTATGGTATAAGGATTTAGGACAACATGTAAATGGTGAATTTTCAATGGCGGTAATACAAGCCAATGGTTTGTTGGAGGATCAAAGCCAACTAGAATCAGGGCCATTGAGTTCGCTTGATTCAGGCCCTCGCGGGACATTTATTGGAGTTTACGATGGACATGGAGGACCGGAGACATCCCGTTTCGTAAATGAGAAGATGTTTCTCAACCTTAAGAGTACGTTCTCTTCTTATTTCCTTAGTTATTTGTTTAGTTTGGTTTTGATATGGTTTCACTAGTTCATGTAATGTTATTGACATTGAAGTTGTTCATTTTTGTTACTATAATGGATGAACTGCCTATATTAGCTCGACAAACTATATCACAAAATTGTGATATTGAAAATACTATTTTGCATTTCATCTTGCATTGTGGATGAAAGCTTCAAGGGGTTGATGGTAGTAAGAATTGGAGATAGAGAACTCTGAGAAAAAATTTATATCAAATAACAAATCCTTGTATTGTCCCTGATGTCATATAACATTCCTAATCCTATACGGGAGCCAAAATGATACACATTTGAGGAAGAGAGCACAAAGAAATAGTAATTTAAGAGATAATATACCCTTTATAAAATTGACACTAGGACACGGGGCTAGATTAGTCATAGTTGTTGTTAGTTGTTACTCATGATGTTAACATGGATTTAGTTTTTTCTCCATTCATGATCTCAAGAAAATGCTTTCTTTCTGACTAAATCTATCCTTGAATTCAGAATTTGTGGCTGAGCATAAAGAGATGTCTGCAAGTGTTATTAAAAAGGCATTCTTGGAAACTGAAGAGGAGTTTCTGTCTCTCGTAAAGCAGCAATGGCTTGAAAAGCCACAAATTGCTTCAGTGGGATCGTGTTGTTTGGTTGGGGTAATATGCAATGGACTTCTATACGTTGCAAATGTTGGAGACTCTCGTTTGGTGTTAGGGAGAGCAGAGAAGTCTTCTAAAGGTGTGACTGCTATTCAGTTATCAACGGAGCACAATGCAAGTATTGAGTCTGTGAGAGAAGAGCTTCGTTCATTGCATCCTGATGATTCACAGATTGTGGTTCTAAGACACAAGGTTTGGCGCGTGAAGGGTCTCATACAGGTAAATTTTCCCAAGTTACTTTATTTTTATGTTCTTTCACATACTGTTGTAGCTTTTCCTGGTCAGTTGATAATGTAGCTTTGCATATTATATTCGAATTTGTCTCTAACAACAATTGAACTGACAAGTACATAACCACATTATTCTTGAAGTGGTTCAGGAGTTCAAAAATAAGACCAAATGTATTTATGAGGGAATGTTTTAGAGTTGACATTGTTCACCCTGTTTGGTTTCGTTTTATGAAAAAATTGAAAGAACTGATCATTTTCATGTGATTTTTTTTTTTTTGGAGTGAAAATAATTTTTGAAATTTTGAAAAAAAAAAATGTGTGTTTATTTTCATCAAACTAGAGTGGGGTTGTTATGGACAGGGGAAGGGATACCCCATTACATACTCCATCACCACTAGACCCAAAATTTTAAATAAAAAAAAAAGGGCCGCCTGGTGCACGAAACTCCTATGAAGTAGAGTCTAGGAAGAGCAAGATGTATGCAACCTTACCCCCATTTCTGGAGAAGCTGTTTGAGTGACCATTGGGCCAAAATAATTAATGATAATAATTTTCATTTAGAAGATTTGGAATCTTATATTGGAAACGTGTTTGGTAACAGGCCTTTTCTTCTCTGTGTCTTGGCAGGTTTCAAGATCCATTGGTGATGCCTATCTGAAGAAGGCTGAGTTCAACAAAGAACCTCTATTGGCTAAGTTCAGACTCCCCAAGCCCTTCCCCAAGCCAATCCTTAATCCGGAGCCTTCAATCTTTATACACAAACTCCATCCCAACGATCAGTTTCTCATATTTGCTTCTGATGGTCTATGGGAGCATCTCACCAATCAGGAGGCTGCCGATATAGTCAACAATTGTCCACGTAGTGTAAGCTTCAAATCCTTTCTGACATATATACTAGTATAAATTTTAAGAAAAATGGTATAATTTACTCACCCATAGATGGGCCACTTGGTTTAGAAACTAATGGCAACAGACAATGGTGAGTTAATATAGAATCTAGCATTTAATTACACTTTCACTCTTACAGGTTGACTCAAATTTCACTTTAAAAACCCTAGGTTCAAGTCTAGTTTCAATTTGACTTTTCCATTCAAATTAGATACTATTCAAATTCACTACTTTTTAGCATGTGTCAGTCACATTAGGAGTACATGTAGATAGATGGTAAATTTAGACGGAAGGACTAAACTAAAATTGAATATAAAGTCTAGGATTAAAATTGTTCAAATTGAAACAATAGGGACCAAAATGAAATTTGAATCGAACAATAAGGGTGAAAAGTGTAATTTACCCTAAAATCAATTATTAAAACTTCATATTTACTGAAAGATTATAAAAGAGAGAAATAAAGAAACTGTTTAGCTGCTATGAAGTTAAAAAATTGCTTGAGTTTCCAATCTGACCATGCATGGACTTTTGTCTTAATTAAAGCTTGGGTTGGAACTTTTTTTTTCCCTTTTCATATGCCTTTTTTGCAGGGAGTTGCTAGGAGACTTGTTAAAGCCGCACTCCATGTAGCAGCGAAGAAAAGAGAAATGAGATACTCGGACCTCAAAAAGATTGATCGAGGGGTGAGGAGACATTTCCATGACGATATTACAGTTGTAGTCGTGTTTCTAGATCAGCCTTCGATGATTAGGAATTCATCTCGTGGTTTCACTATTTCAGTAAAAGGTGGTGGAGGTGTACCCACTACTTCCAAGTCCTAGTCTGCAATATTCTTCAATTTTATCCATCAAATATCATACATTTTTCTTTTCTTTCTACATTCTACATATAGAAAGAAATAGAAAAAAAGAAAGAACATATCTTCAGACGTGCAGTGGCATCCCAAGTCTTTCCGTAAAGTTGCAGTTCATGAATCTCAAGAAGATTTCAAGAAGAGGGATAGTTAAATCTGTGAATCTGTTTGTTGTTGATTGTGACATTGCAGAAAATCTTTCTACAGTTTGGTCCGGTGAAGTTCGGCATGAATTTTCTTGCTTTGGAAATGTGTAGATATGAATTTTTTTCACCTTTTCTCTTCCTTTTAAGATGTATCATTCTAGCATTTATATCATTTGGTTGAAACAAACCATTCATTATTGTAACTATGTGAGGGTTCTTGTTTTATTTGCCAAATCTTTGTTTCACTTTTGAATGATTTCATGTTCAAACTTGTTGGTTTTCTTGGTTGCTCTTTGAGGCTTATACTAATTACATTTGGTATCCATACAGGGTAGGGTTGTGCTACGACAGAACCCACTGCCCTAATTTTATAGAATGTGAATATGAATATGATTTTTTATTTTTTTATTTTTTTATTTTATTTTTTACAACTGTTAATATTGCATGTGACAAATCAAAAGTTAAACACTTATTATATTACATCATGGTAGGTCAAATTGTATAAAAAAAAAAATACAAATGTCGTACATTCTCCTTGACACAATGGCCTCGTTTATCACTTATAAAGTTAATTTTTATTATTTTAATTCTTAAATTATTAACTTCAAAGAATTAAAATAAATTTTAAATTTGTTTGGTATTTGTAATTTGTATAATGAATAGGATCAATAATAATATCATGCTAGTTAATATATTAATTGATGCATGTAACACTATCAATCAAAAATACCTCCAACTTAAACATGCATTTTGAAGCTTAATAAATTTGCAGTTCAAAATTTTCTCCATGAAATGAGAAGATCATCAAATTTTCCAATACGCACAGCGAGGGAACATGAATTAATACAATCATGAAAGATTTCACAATATTAAACATCAGAAACACGACAGAACGGATTTGATTTTCCCAAGAAAATAAATAATATTTCACAGCGAAACAGAAAAAAATCAAAAATAAAATGACTGCCCCAACAACTTATCTGGTCATATACAAATTCAAAAATAAAAGCAACCTTTCTTCTTTTTTTTTTCTTTTTCTTTTTTCTTTATAACAAAAACTACAAATCACTGTTACCAAACATCCTCCATCCTTTTCTCACATCCAACATACTCGACTTCACCCGGTGAGGCCAAGGGGTTAATCAACAAACATTTCCTGATAGTCAATTTATTCAGATGACTGAGAAAACCAAAAATTCTGGAAACTATAGCCGGGAAAAAGGTTCATATTTAACCAATCACAAAAACCACTAGTGCACAAATTCTTACATTTACAACTTCACCCTCAAAACTTACCTCAACCGGTCATTTCTGTTGTGATCAAGTAGGAAAACAGCAGTACGTGAACTTTTTAACAGGACATGATAATGCAAAGATAATATGAGATTCAAAAGTAACATTAAGAATAAAGAACTCCCTAGTGTCAAAAATAACTTGTACTTTTGCACCATGAAATGGGACACATAAGTGCACTCCTCAATGCATGTAACATAGCTCTTAATCTACATCTACATATAACTGGCCATTATCCTGGACATTTTATGAAACCCAAAAGTTGCAACAATCAAACATCTCAAACACAGGTCAACCATGATATACATGCCAAGTGATTTCAGTTAATACGATGAATTTTTACGATAGTGCAATCTATATGGAGAAATGGTGCAATTTCAACACTAACTCTAGGATCAGATGATGTTAGGCTTGCCAATTCAACTTATTACTGCTGATTCCAACAGGATCTGGTATGTGACCAGAGACAGTGAGGGTGAAGTCGCAAAACAGAACCAAATTAACTCGGCAAGATGAATACATTCCCAGGCCATAATTGCAGTACTTTTTGATATTCTTAGTCTGTCATTTCAGATAGGTTTACACTAAGGAGTTGTTGATTATCTAGGGCCTCACCAGATAAATAGATATATCTCAGATAAGCAAAAGCTTCTTCATGCTGCCACACCTCATGAGAAGTTATCCAAGAATGGAAGAAAGCTGCATCCAGGAGTTCATAATTCAGAAAGTAAACATGACTACGGAAGCTGCCAGGGGAGTCACAAAATGTCAAAACCCTAAACCTGCCAAAATGAGAAAACAAAATTAATTATTACAGGCTTAACAGATCACGAATGAAACCAATTCATCATATGGGACTATGTTACATAGACTCAAGTGTGGTGTCAGCTGCGGGTATGTATCTTGGTGTAGGATTCATCTAATTCTCAAGTTTAAGGACACTAGGACAAGGCTAGATTTATATTATTCTTTAAAAAATATTTTATTTTTTTAGGTTAAAACGGTGTTTACAAACTAACATTAGACTTATACATATAGTTATAAACTACACTACTTGAGCATACTTAGTGGGTGCATGTCCGAGTCCAACTAAGCAAGCCAGACACATCTATACAAAATTCTTGGGTATCCAACATGGATACCTTTCAAATTTAGAAAAATCCATGTAACATTGGTATGGGGAAAGCATGGAAATCAAACCAAAATCGGAATTGTGACTGATAAAGATAACATCTTCAAACAGATCTTACTATAAAAGAAAGAAGCTACAATATTTAGGTTCCCCCGCCAGCCTTGCCCGCAATAGCTGTCTTCTGAATTTCAAGAACAAAAATCAGTGCTAAAAGAAAGAAACTCAGTGTACATCAACATCAATGGGCTCAAAATGAACAAATATACGACGACTCACCATTTCAATATTATTTCCTTTACCATTCACTTGTGAGAGAGAACCAGATTTAGGTTGTGAAAACCTGGAAAAGCATTGTTGAAAACATATCGTATTTAATATTCAGCAGAAAACGGGATTAAGAAGCACATAATGTTGGAGTGATGCTGACCTTATTGCCCTTGCTTTCTTTTTGTCTTCTTCTAGTGGATCTGTCTTAGTGGCAGCTCCAAACCTGGCAAGCCTAGCTTTCTTCTTTGCCGCCTCATCAACAGGCTCAGATTGCACAATCCCGAACCTGAGAAACAGCATAAAAGATCATATACTATTTGCACCCATAAGAATATATCAAAAAATAAATAAAGAAAACAAGGCAAACTGAATAGAAGTTTTTGCAAATTCAAACAAGGTACTTTGTGATTAACATATTAAAGAAGCGCATAAACAAACCTCTCCGCTCTAGCCTTTCTCTTCTGCTCCTCTGATTTCTTCAATGCATCTGAACCATGCACTGTAGACCCAATCCCAAACCTGCAACAGGACAGGTTTGAATTTGACGATGACCTCAATAGTAAACAAAAGAACTGGAATGTGAATTTAAACAATGCAAGTTATAATCAAGAAAAAGTATTGTGGTCAGGTCTAGAAGAAAATTAAAAATTAAAAATCATTGGCCCAGTCCATGATATTAAAAAATGTCATCCAATTACCCATCATAAGCAGATGTTCAAGAATTTAGTCTATGTATTATACACATATGTTATAGCATACACTAGACCAAACCAACAAATTGTAGTTTCCTATGTAATAAAAAACAACATTAACAAATTGGGAGCAATTAATACTGGAATAGTTTTTTTTAACCCTATTCACTAGAACACATCACCAACCAAGGGCACTTCTGTCATCTCCAAATTTGGCCCATACCAAATTATGCAAATCAAGTAGTATGCAATAACAATCAGACCAATCAAACTGAAAATTTGATATCCACCCCTAAGGCTGATTAATGTCTCTCTCTCTCTCTCAGGCCGATTATCGCCCAGCCCAGCCCATCTCCGACTGTCCAGTACCAACTCAATGCCCCACAATACTTCCCAAAAGGCTCCCTCTATCAAGCCTAATTCACTTCCATAAGCCACAATCGTATCAAACCTTGATAAGCAGGGGAAAATTTAAGACCCTCTTCCTAAATTTTATCTTTGCAATTAAACTTCGACCCATCTGACTCCATTCTAACAGCCTATTGTTTGTTCAGGGCACATTACCACCTTCAGCAACCTACTTTAAAAATAAATAAATAAATTTTAATAAAAATAATAAAATAAACAATTCCTTCTAACTAAAAATCATCAAAAGATCCAAAAATAAAATGCCAAAATTTTCAACCAAATTAAAATAAAAAATAGCAAGCAATAGAGCAAATTGATAATAATAGTAAATAAAAATTGCTGACAATGTGTGTTTGTGTATTAAAATTGGAGAGAAATAGAGAGATGTACAAAAAAACCAATAGTAAACCTTAGCCCCTAATACATGAATATGACATAGGAAACAAAACCAATAACAGCTTAACTAGAAAGAAAGAAAGAAAAAAAAAGGGTAACCCTCCCTAGACTACCTTTGAGCTCGAGAATTACGCTTCTCTTCCTCGGAGAGCTGCACGGGCATACCGAAGCGCTCGGCTCGGCGGATCTTCCTCTGGATATTAGAAACAACAGGGTCCTCCTCGTCCTTCTTCTTGTTGTCGTCATTGCTGTCCTTCAGGGCCGTCGAATTCGCCGCAGCTTCGGTGGCCGAGATCTTCGATTCGTCGCCGTCTTTGGTAAGCGAGTCTGTATCGGAGGTGGAGGGCGGTGGTTGTGGCAGTTGTTGTTGATCAGGGGTTTTGCTAGGGTTTTCAGCCTTTGGCTCAGTTGCGCTCGCCATTGATGAGGAAGATAGCTTTTGAGAGAGAGAAAGAGAGAGACAGAGAGAGAAATGTTAATGCTAGTTTGTATTTATTTGGTGTTTTTTGGAGGAGGCGCGTGAGATCTTTTGCTGTCCTCTCCCTCGTCCCGAGTAGGGATCACAATTTAAATTCGGTCAGATGGAGACCCGACCCTGGATCCCGAGTTAAGTGGATATTTTTTGAAAAATACTTTCAACGGGATGGGCTTGATATTTAAAAATTAATTTCTGCACAGATTCAGGTGAGGAACGGGGATAAGTGTTCCAATCCGATTTTTTCTCGATGTATTTTACTACTATATATATCTATACTATTATAAAGTAAACATATAGACTTATTTTGGCAACATAATTTTTAGCCACTTTTTTGGTTAGTAGTAAAAGTCAAAAGTTGGCTTTTTTTTCATTTGGGAAGTTGGTTTTAGCCAACGGTGAAATTATCTCTATCTACCTCACTCACTGACTTCTCTCTCTCTCAGATCATCACCACTGTCGTCCAGTTCGCACCACCACCACCACCACTACCGCGTCTCCCATCCACTCTCTCTCTTCTCGACGTCGCTGACCACCACTCCCGTAGTCATCCAATCGCCATGATTACCACATTCGCAGCCGCAATCTCCTCTGCGAAATGATCTCATCTTCTCTGCTTCAAACACACACAGCCGCCCTACCGAACACGTCGCCGACCACCACTCCCGGAGTTGCTTAGCTGCAAGATCAAATCTTTTTTTTTTTTTTTTCAGATCTGTCTCAGATCTGTTTCACAAATTTCAGATCTGTCTCATTATACACAAATTTCATATCTGTTTTCATTATTATACAATCCCCAAACAATTTCAGACCTGCTTCATTATACACAAATTTAATATGTTTTCATTATTATACACATCTGTTGTTCTTGATGATGATGATGTTGTTGTTGATGAGATGAATTATTGTATTTTTTGAAACTTTTTTTCTTTTTTTTTTTTGGCCGAGGAATGTTCGGGGTCGGGGAAACTCAATCCCCGTTAGGGGGCAAGGGCGGGGGCAGTGATAGGTTCCTCGTCGGGGATCAGGGTCGGGGCCGGGGAAATTCGACCATCGGGGACGGGAAGTGTGATCCCCGGCCCCGCCTCGTTGCCATTCCTAGTCCCGAGTGCAAACAAAAATGACAAGTTTCGAAAATATCTTTCACCTTCGCCTTGTTTGTTCTGATTTTCTGATTTTTAGAAATTTTTATTTTTTATATTTTAATAAATATTTTAAGTAATTTTTTCTTAATTTTTAAACATACTTAATATAAAATATATTTAAAAAGTATAATATTTATAAAAAAAATCTTTAAAAAATACATCAAATATCAAAAAATATCAAAAAAAATATAAAAATTTAATATATTTTTCGTATTTTTGTGTATTTATTTTTTAAATTTTTTTTGAGAGATGCACTAATAAATCTAATAACTTATACACTGTTTAGTCCTAAATTTTTTTTTATAGACTGAAAGGTCCCATTACAATGTTTCAAACATCAGATTAATGTTTCGAACATTAGATTTCGAATATCAGATTAATGTTTTAAACATTAGATTGATGTGCAAATGGGACTAAATGGAGCATAAGAAAACTTTTAGGACTAAATGGTTCAACTTTTAAAAAACTAGGACTTATGGGTAAATTTTTTATTATTTTTTTTCAAATATATTAGTATTTAGATATATCTAAGTAAAGTACATCTAAAAAAGTAAAAAAATTACTTAAAATTTAAAAAAAAAATTACTAAAAACAAAAAATATAATTTTCAAAAGATTGAATTCGAAAAATTAAAACCAAACACACTGTTTAGTTTTTGGCCCATTTTGGCAATCAAAATAAAACTTTTTCCTTGAATTTTTTTATCTTTAGTAATTTTTTAAAAAATTATATCTATTTTTTATTTTTTTTAGTTTAAATTATGGAGACAAATATAAAATATATATATTTAAAAAAAATCAATAAAGACGATAATAAGTCAAAATAAATATTTATTTTGGTCTATTTTTGTCTTTTTTAGATTTTTTTGGATTTTTTTTTAAAATTATAATTTTTTGATTCATCTTGTCGAGTTGAATTTAGAAACTTAGCCTCCGTTTGGGAAGTGTGTTGGTTTTTTGACTTTTTGGCTTTTTGACTTTTTGACTTTTTTGACTATTTGAGCTTGGGCTCAAAAGCTTAGTTTGGGAAGGACTTTTTGGGTTTTTGGCTTTTTTGACTTTTTTTGTGAGAGAATAGTGTAATGATTATGAGTTGGATGTGATGTTTTGTCTGTTGTGGCTCAAATAACCTATTTTGTCTTTTGTGGCTAAAAGAAAAAAACACTTTTCAAAATATTTATTTAATAAATATATTTTACCCAATTAAGTTTTATGATTTTTTTTTTATTTTTATCTTTAAAATATATTTTTTCACTTTTAATCTTTAATTTTGTATTTTTTTTGTTAATTTACTTGCACGTTAATTTTATCTTATTTTGATGAAAAAATGTCACACGGGCAAAATTGATAAATTATACTTCGTCCTTCTATTTTGCAGTTTGTCACTTTAATTCTTAGAGTATTTTTTTTTCATCTTGGTTTTTAATATTCGTAATTTTTCTCAGTTAATTTTGAAAATCAATTATTGTACAATGGTAAAACTTAGGTTGAAGGTGATTAGAAACTGACTTTTTTGATTTTTTTTTATTTTTTCTTGAAAAAATGTAAAAAAAAAAGTATGAGAAATAATGTAATGTAAAATAGGTTAAAAACTAAAAAATAATTTTTAACCATCTTCTCAAAATAATCCTTAAAACTCAAAATCTAGCTCCCAATTTTTTTTCTCTTTCCATTCACCTCTAACTTTCACTACTCCAACTTCTCCTATGTCCCAACCTCGAGGGTATAGTTTAGGAAATAAGTTAAAAAGTTATTTTTTTGGGAGCTTTTTTGATAAATCCATTTTCTAAGAGCTTTATTCCATCCAACCCATATTCTTTTTGAGTATTCCATTAGGTCCAATTTGAGATAAGAAGACCAAAATACCCTTTTCATCTACTTATGTTCCATTTAGTTCACATTATTTTCTTATGTTTCAATAAGTTCTATGGGTGACATAATTACCAAAATACCTTTAATGTGAATGTTCACACCGTCAATATAAATGTTTATATCGTCAATGTGTAGGGGCCCGGCTCATGTCGATCCTCGTAGGTGCCCGAAAAAATTCGAGTCGGGCCGGGCCGGCCCACAAGCCAAAAAAATAGGCCCGACCCGGCCCGTTGATAATATGAATATTCACATTGACAAGTTAACATTCACATTGATAGGAGTGTAAAATTGGCCTACGGCCCGTGGACGGCCCGAAACTAGCCCGTCGCCCGGGGCAGGCCCGGGCCGGCCCGTTCACAATATGAATATTTACATTGACATATTAACATTAACATTAACATTGACAAGAGTGTAAAATTGGCCCATGACCCGTGGGCAGCCCGAAGCCCGATTAAGGTCAAAATTGAGCTAATTGAAAGTGCAGGGATTAAAATAAGAGACAAAATGTAGAGACTATCTATGTAATTTGCCCCCCCTAAAACAACCCATTAAATTATGTAACGGATCATTAAGTGTCGTAATGAACGATATGGTAGCATAACTTGTGTGTTAAAACACCACTAGGTATGGCACAATAGAACTATAAATTTGCATAATGAATCCACAAAAATACGTAATGATACCATTAATTTGCATAATAATTTAAAAAATTGAAAAAAATCATTAAAATATGTAGCTAATCCGTAAGTGCCGTAACTCATCATAACCAAAAAACAAAAACAATACTTTGAAATAACTTGTGCATTAATATCAACAAAAAAAAAAAAAAAAACATTGATGTGTGTAATGCTACCATTAATGTGTAAAAATTAAGAAAATTAGGAAGAAAAAAAACATTAAAGTACATAGCGAACTTAATCATAAATAATGAGTTATACTTGGGCATAACTTACGCATTTTATATCAAAAAACCACTAGTTATGGCATAATAGAACTACAAAATTTCATAACTAATCTAAAAAGTAATACTACCATAAATATGCATAAAAGTAAAAATAAAAAAAGGACAAATTACGTTAATCCTTGTATTTTGGTCTTGTGTGATTTTGGTCTCTATAGTTTGCTCAATTTTGACACTGAATTTTTTATTTTTTCTCAATTTAATCCAAATGCTTACAATTGTTAGTGTTTTTTAATGAAAAATATGCACACAAGTGACTTATGTTTTTCAAGGAAAATTTTTAAACTTGTTCAACTCAGTGAGTTAACTTCAACCAATTTAGTGATAATTTTTCATAAAAAACACTAATAACGTTATCAATGGGCCCAAATTAACACAAAATCTAAAATTAAGGTCAAAATTGAGCTAATTGAAAGTGCAGGGATTAAAATAAGAGACAAAATGTAGAGACTATCTATGTAATTTGCCCCCCCTAAAACAACCCATTAAATTATGTAACGGATCATTAAGTGTCGTAATGAACGATATGGTAGCATAACTTGTGTGTTAAAACACCACTAGGTATGGCACAATAGAACTATAAATTTGCATAATGAATCCACAAAAATACGTAATGATACCATTAATTTGCATAATAATTTAAAAAATTGAAAAAAATCATTAAAATATGTAGCTAATCCGTAAGTGCCGTAACTCATCATAACCAAAAAACAAAAACAATACTTTGAAATAACTTGTGCATTAATATCAACAAAAAAAAAAAAAAAACATTGATGTGTGTAATGCTACCATTAATGTGTAAAAATTAAGAAAATTAGGAAGAAAAAAAACATTAAAGTACATAGCGAACTTAATCATAAATAATGAGTTATACTTGGGCATAACTTACGCATTTTATATCAAAAAACCACTAGTTATGGCATAATAGAACTACAAAATTGCATAACAAATTTAGAAAAAATGCGCAACACTACCATTATTATTCGCAAAAGTTTTTAAAAAAATTATTAAAGTACCTTGCGAATCATTAAGTATTGTAACTCACAATAATCATAAATAATGAATTATACTTGGACACAACTTGGGCAT